CTTGCGATGGTCGAACTAACATACACCCTACAGCTAACACGAACACAGACCTTATCCTTTAGCATAATCCGCATCCGAACGCCAACTCTGACCTTAAACTTGACACTTCACTTAACCCAGTCATAAACCTAATTTCTCGAGAACTTGGCGCAAACTCACATGCATTGTGGGCGGTTCCTGTTCCTGCGTCTTGTTTAGGCGACCATGCAAGTCATCGTTTCTGTTAGAGTTATTAATAATAATGTATGCACTTCATTTTGACTTTTTTTGTCTTCTATCGCGCCCTTGCTACCCACAGGAAACGGAGCATAGGAGGAAACTGGCAAAGACCCTGAAGTCCGAACGTGCTAGATACAAGGCGAGTTTTTTCCCGTGTAGCCATTCGCTGGTTCTCAGTATAAGCTTTCCTCGGGTTGATGACATAGTTTCCAGACAGTAATTATCCTTCTCGCGGAGTTTCTACTCCCTTCTGCTTTTATCCTCCTGTGTAGGAGTTGTCACCTAACCTACGCCTTCAATTTCTGTCACGCCTCCTACGACTGCCCAACAAACTGCGTCCTGAATTGGTGGTATGTAAGACTTCCCTCGCCCTCTTTGTGCGCCCTCCGTTTGCGTTTCCCTCCTGGTGTTTTTTCAACTTTTGATGAGCGCCCAGGCCGGGCCTTGTGATTATCTATCATGGAAGATGAGATGAAGCCTGTTTCACCGTATAGAAGAACTCCGATGCATGTCCTTCGACAAGTAAGCACTGACACAGCAAACTAGAGACGCCTTGCCGTTTTTCAAGGCTATCTTTGATTGTCTACAGTATCTAGCTCTAGCTTAGAATTTACAGAACATTATTTATCTAAATAGGTACACTACAAGTACCGTACTAATGGACAACAGTATGACAATACGCTGCAGCAGTGGTGGTAATATTAGCGATTTTAGTTCGTATAGTCCAAAGGGAACTGTTACCGTATTAGCTCAACGAGCACGTAAATATACACATAGGAAGTCGGCTTCGGATAGGGATAACAGAGGAGACGGTCTGACTAATGCCTGTCAATATCCGGCGACTAAATCTACTGTCGAGGAAGCCCGATTACTCTACATGGCATCGAGGGTTTTGTCTGTCCGAGCCAAAGGAGAATCATCCTTTTAGTCACTGGGTGTAGCTTTCGATAGACAATGCACAGCCCCAGGGTACCGTTTTTCTGCATGATTTGCTCGAATTTTATCACGCATTTATCTCGCAAGGTAGTGCCATTTACCATTTTCAAGGTAATTATAGCATTACTACTGTTTCCAGCTATAGTTTGGAATTTACAGAACGTTTCCTGTCTA